AGAATGAGAGACAGAGAGCATGAGAGGGAGGAGGGTCAGAGGGAGAAGCAGGCTCCCCGCTGAGCAGGGAGCCCGATGCGGGACTCGATCCCGGGTCTCCAGGATCATGACCTGAGCCGAAGGCAGTCGCTTAACCAACTGAGCCACCCAGGTGCCCCGCTGCTATTGTTTTATTAGCTTTTTCCTCCTGAATAAAAAGCACTTTTCCTGGGTAAGGAATAAGGGAGTTTTTCTTTAGATAAACTGGAAGTGGATCAAAATATGTAAGACAAAAAAAATATGTAAGACAAAAATACTAAACAACCCATATAGGATTCTTTGAATTAGTATTAAATGCCTGAGCATATATGTCATATACGAATTTGAGGTGTTTCAGAGAAAATATTTGGTTGGCATGTGAGTAATTTGATAGACCTAGGGTAAGAAGAAAACAAAAGAAAATTTAAAATGGTATAAAATTTTAAAAGTGTCCCACTTACAAAGTTCTGGGGACATAAAAAGTATTACCCATCCCCAACCCTCCTGCCTTGTACTTTGCTGGATTGTTGACCTTTCACTCCATCTTCTCTTCTATTGCTTTCTCAGGAATTAGAGAATAAAATCCCCTCATAATGTTTCTCAGTAGTGACACCAATCCAGATGAAGACGGGGAGGCGGCAGAGTCTCTCAGATGTTCGGTACGTGCTTACAATTCTGTAATACTCCACAGGGGAAACTTGACATTTCAAAAATGGTGAAAATTTGAGCTACCGAATACCTGGTGGCATACTTGGGGGGCCCCAGGAAGACTTATGCTCTTTTGTCACAGTGAAATGAAGCACTTCCTCGGGCAGGAAAGTGCGAGAGCTAAACTGTTTTCACGATAATGGCAGTTGTTAAAAAGCCATTCACCCACCTCAGCCCACTTTGTATTTGTTGCTCTTGCACAGAACGGCCTAGGATTGACGGGAAACTGCACTGGGGCCAATGACCTAAATTTGGGCTCTCACTTTGGCCTTTCTGGCCTTCCAACTAGTTCCTTAGGAATAATGGAGTTAGTAAGCAAGATGCTCTAGAAAGTGAGATTTTATTCCTTCAGTATAGGATTTTAGATAAGGAAGGTACTCTGAGGAAATCTTTGTTGTCTTCTCTGCCAGCAACTATTGCCAAACACTCCGCAAATGTATCTACTTGCTTTGGTAAAATATTCCAGCGAATGAGGACTATTAGAGCTTCCTTTGCACTGCATTCCCGAACATTCTGAACCCTTTGCACACCAGGATGAAGCTTTGATATCTGCATTATCTGGCTCTCTTTCTTCCTTAAAAAAAACGTAGCCTTACTCAAAACAAAGGTTGCAACCCTCCACAGCTCTCTCTCTCTCCATGGCAGCTCATCATACTTTACATTAGAAAGATCTTACAGACTTTAGGGTCCAAGTCTGACGGGCCCATTTCATGGTTTAAGTGGTGCATCTAAATAATACCCCTTTCTGGAAATGACTGTGAGATTTGACACTGCCACCCTTAACCGGGTTAGTTAGGCAAAAATATCTTCCAAAGACAGATGCTTCTGTTTTCATGGTTACTTGGTATCCTTTTTGTTCTAGGGTTTTGGGGTCTACCAATTACATTGTCAGCCAATCTCATGACTTCCCACCTCTTCCCCTCCACAGCTGCCAGAATTGTATGCTTTTGTTGAGGATTTTAATAAGGACAGCAAGAAATCAAATCTCCTAAAAACTCACAGTATTTCACCTAGTGAAGCTCAGAAAATGCTTAGTCAAAATGTGAATGCCATGTCACTCACCAGTGGAACTGATGATGTGAAGGGAGAACACCTCCAGCCTGTTTTCGTGTGCAAGGTGGTGAGAAAAGAAGAGGAGAAACCAGACTCTATGACCGAACTGCTGTACCGAAGCTTGTTGACCAGCTCACTCTCTCCAGTGGAGAGACTCACCAGATCCCAGCAGAGGCTCTTTCAATGTGGGATTCCTCCTCCTGCACACACTTTTCCCTATGAGATTCTCATCGATCACTCCAAATCTTTGTCACCAGTCCCCGTCCCCATAGACGAGAAGACTCAGAGTGCCAACATATTACACATGCTCGGCATTTCCAGGATCAGGCCAGAAAATTTTATCTTTGAAGACAAAATTGCTAAGTACTTCTTAGTTGATCCAGGTAATCTAAACAGTTGAGGCTCTGTGGGGGGAAATTCGTGGAAATCTTACTGCAAGGTTTATTTAGGTTATGAGAGCCAAAATAGTCAAATGGTGACCCATGGGAATCTTGCAGTCCTGGGACTCATGGCTGAAGTGCTTGCTGCCTACAGTGCCAATGTGAGGTAGAGAACAGAGACCCGAACATTCCAGGGTCCAGTCTCAGGTCTAGTCTCGCAAAGGAGTATTATGGATGTGGTACTTAAAGTCACCTTTATAAAATTAGCTAGTTAAACTTGGACCCTAAGTCACCCATAACTATTATGAACTTAGCTAAATATTTACTGAATAATGGCTTATTTTTCTTAAGTATCTTTGCTTTAGTGCAATTGAGAGGGGTATTTTTAGATATTTTTTCAGGAACCTTTACTCTTTCTTTACTGATACATCTCTACAAACAACAAGAGGAAACTCCTCCCTTCATTTCTCACACTTTAATAGGAAGATGTTCCTTAAAAAACAGAGACTATTCAGAGAAAGTTAAAAATATATAAAATATATGATGGTGAGTTTCAATGAGAAGGGGGTGCCTTCTAAGGTCTTCATTTTCCTTCATTTGAGGGAGGTAATAATTTGTCATTCTATGTAGCTGTAAAAAAATAGATTAAGTCAATGACATAAAATATTTGAAACTTCCTGAAGTAGGTTCTTGACTCAAGATAAAACCATTTGCACAGCAAATATTTTGACAGCACCATTTTTATACTAAAAGTAGTGGGAGAGGTAGAGGAACAAATTCAAAGGCATAGATTGATTACTGTGCTCACATTTGGTCCAAGATGCTGGAACAGTCTTTGCTGTAACTCCCCACACTAATGTCTTGACAGAATCTAATGCAGGTTTTAAATCCCTTTGATAGAGTTATACTTTGTGTGTTCTGGGACCCAGGCAAAAGTAGAAATCATGGCAATTATAAGAATGACCTAGATAATCCACAGAAGTACATAAGGTAAAGTCTGGGACCAGAGAGGAAAACGCATGGAAAGTATTAGGAATCAATTAGTACTGCCAAAGAGCCTATTGAAAAAGTACTGAGGGCTTTGGATGTTTGATAGGATGTTTATGGTTTTGCCATCCACAGGAGCCAAATTGTCCTTTCTTCCCAACGCATGGCTTGCCTCCTGGCTACCTAACTTCTAGAGGTCTCCCTTGTGGCCTTCCAGACTCTGTCAGAGTTTCTTCTCTGTCTTCATGACTTCATTTCCTCAGATCCTATAGGTAGAATTTCGAGTACATATCCTGTCTATTCAAGGAATATGCGTGAAGCCAGGTAGGCATCCATATGAAGAATATCCAGTAATTTCTTAGGTTTAATTGGTATTGCAGCAATTCATCTTTTATTTTCTTATATTGACCAGTATTACTATCATTTTATCAGCCAGCCAGTCCCTAAAGTATTCTCAGCCCAGAAGAACTTTAGGACTCTTGGTGTATCAAAGGATATTATAGAACATATGCTTCTTAGCACCAAACACTGGGGAAAGAAAAGAGAATGGGTGTTGCCATTTTGTTCTTCTATCATACCAGCTCCCCTTGCTCAGGCTAAATTCTGTAGGACCATGTAGGTTAGGAATGTGTTTGACGAAAAATGACAGAGAAACCAAATAAAGATTATTTTTCTTATATACTTAGAAGTCTGGAAGTAGGCAGACAAGTTTTGGAGCAATGCTTTTTGATATTGTCAAGGACCCAGGCTCCACCAACTTTTTGTGTATGGCTTTTGTCTTCATGGCCAAAGGATATCTCCTTCACCTCCAGGTACTATGGCCACATTCCAGGCAGGAAAAGGGGCTAAGATGAAGGGCCACATTGGCTACTTTGTCCTCTTTTAATAGGGAAGCAAAACTTTCTCAGAACACTCCCTCCTCCAGTGACTTCTCCCTACATCTCATTGGTCAGAATTGTGTCCAATAGCCACCCTTTACTGCATTGAAATCTTAGCTTTTTACCCTCTGTAGTAGAGGAAGGCAAAAGAGGATTGCAGTGGATGTGCAGTGAGCCAACCTATAGTATCTACCATAGATCACAATCCAAAGCTCTGTAGTAATCAAAATCATCAACTCTGTGGCCTTCTCTTGTCAAATATCCCTTTCCTTCCTTCTATAACCAGATCTTCCAATGCCAAGCCTGCCAAGATCTTGTCAAACTCCCTGACACTTGGTAATTGCCCTTAAGGAGACACTGTTGCCTACCAATGTTCAACACCAGTAGCTTGCTCCAGTATCTGTTCCACTAGGGAAGGTATGAACTCAAGGAACAGTCCCTGGTCCCAGTCTCCTATTTCAGACATGTACAGAATATATACCAAAACTCAGGCTCTTCCAGGACAGGGATGGAGGCCTGATTGGCACAGGGGCCATATCTGGACCATAGCTGATCTGCTCAAATATCACCATACAGGGAGAATGATAAGAGAGAATTAAACCAGCCTTCCTGCTTGTTTGCTGTACCCATTGTTCTCCTTGTACTCCTCACACTCATCTCCTTGACTCTGGCCTCTGGTTTTATACTCAAGTCTCTGCCTCAGGCCTTGCTCTTTGTTTTGTTCTTTTTTGGGGGGTGGTGGTGGTTTACATTTTAGGTAGTCGTTAAGGAAACTGAAAGGAAGGGAAAGGAAAATGCTGAGTAGGAGAATATGCAGTGTATCTTGGACTGACTTTCCATGGTTCATTGGCTTCTTGAAGGGATTGTAATTACTAGCGACACCTGAAGTTGGTAGGTCCTGAAAGAGTAGCTAGCCACTGCCTTTTATACCCAGGGCTTACACCAGCATCTTGGAAGAAATGACACTAGCAATCTATATACTTCTGACTAATCTTTGTCCTTGTTTTAAGCCCTCATTACAATCCTTTTCTCCTCCGTCTTGATCTTGGTGCTCTGTAGATCTCTCCATTTGTCCATTATTAGTATCCAGGCACTGAATTGGGAGCTCCTCCACCTGCTATGGCCCTGCAGTGTCCACTCCAGCCCAGTTAACCAGGCCCACCCAGTTTCCCATTTGGAGGAGGACTTTAGATCAGATGAACACCATAGGTGCCCACTTCATTTATAAAGCTCTAGAAACAGCTTTCTACCAGAAGGGAGAAGGAAACTCAAGTTCATCAAAGGTTCATTCTGTCCATGAAGCATCTCTGAATAACTGAAGGTTAAATAACAGCTTCATGTAATTCTTTGAAAATACGATTCTTTGCAGAAAAACAATTCATGGATCTAAGGGATCTGGAATGGAGATACTACAAGGGGCTTGCGTCGTGGAAGCACAGTACTTTAGATTCATTCATAGACATAAATTACGTCAGTGAGAAGAGATTTGTGGCGAACCAGCAGATGCCTGGTGTCATTTACCCCCCTGTAGTTCGTAGGTCTTTAGTCATTTACCCTCAAATTGATTATCTAAAAAAAAATGCAGCTTCTTCTTAAAATATGTAGTGTATTAAATGTTTTGGATGTGGATTTTGTTTTTGAGAACATTGAACTTATATGTGAAAAGTAAAGAAGCAGATGGAACATAGGAACAGAGTCTATATGATATTCATGTAAAGTTCAAAATTGAACCATTAATATAGAGAACAAGATTCAGATTGATCTGCTTATATAAGACCAGGTTTGGACCAGTGAAACCCATCTGGACCAGGGCTGAGGTAAATCTAGATCATGTGAAAAGTAAGGGCACCTATGAAGAACAACTACCAAGCAAGACTAGCTCTTTAAAATGTTCTACGCACATGAAGAAGTGTATTATCATTTTTAAAAAGTTGGTAAATTCAACAAATCAAAGAATTTCAACAAATCAAAGAATCTGAGGATGTAGAGATCAATCTGAGAACTTAAAAATAATACGTTAACTGCTTAAAGACATGAGGAAGGAAGTAGTATTTACAAAACAAGAACAGGAAGATTTGGGGAAAAAAACCAAATTGGAAATCTTGAAAGTGAAACATATAATTATTGAAAGTAAAACAATAATCATAATAACCCTCAATAAATTATTGCAATGGTATACTGGATGTATCTTAAGAGAGAGGATTAACGACTTGAAAGAGCACTGAGAGAGAAGTTTCTAGATCATGGTGCAATAAGACCAAAGGAGCAAATTCTGAAAGAAGGATCGTGGAGGGTAGAATGAGAAGTTTAGAAGTCTAGCCAGTGGAAGATGCAGAAGAAAACAGGGTGAACGGCAATGTTTGAAAATGAAATGACTGATAATTTTCGAGAAATGATATGAATGAAAACTTGAATGGAAAACCTCACTGAATGATTGGCAAGAAAATAAAAATAACTCTCTACCCAGAAACACCATAGCATAACTGCACCACAGTAAGCAAGAAAGGAAAATACAGAGAGAATGATGAATTGCACACACACAAGTGACAGATCAACAGCGGAGCTTCCGTTAACAGCATACTTCAGAGGGCGATGGTGTCACATACTCAAAATGCTGAAGGAAAACACCTGGCAGCCTGAAATTCACCAGCTAGCCAGATGTTCTTCAAAGAGCAGGGTTAAAATAAATTCATTTTAGAAAAATGTAAAAGCCGAAACTGTTTACCACCCACAATCTCTTACTGAAAAAACCACTAGCAAAGTATGTATTCTAGTAAGAACTGGGAGGAGTGCAAGAAATAATGGTGAACAAATAAATGATCAATAATATATGTGTATGGTTGTGTAGATACTAAAATATAATTCTGGAATCAAGTTCCTGATATTTTATTTAGAAAATATGCTTCCATTTGGGGCACCTGACTGGCTTATTCGGAGGAGCAAGCAACCCTTGATTTGGGGGTTGTAAGTTCGAGCCCCACGGTGGATGTAGAGATATTTAAAAATAAAATCTTTTAAAAATATTTTTAAAAGAGGGGCGCCTGGGTGGCTTAGTCGGTTGAGCATCTGCCCTCGGCTCTGGTCACGATCCCAGAGTCCTGGGATCGAGACCCATATCGGGCTCCCTGCTCAGGGGGT